GCCTCACCCGGGAAGAGCGCAATGATAATACCAACATGGGCCAGTGAAGCAACGTCCTCCACAACTAGACTGAAGAACAAAACAACAGCAACTTGTCTGTTCCCTTTCCCCCAACTCCCCAGCGCTGTTCCTCTCCCCCAATTCCCCAATAAAATCTTTAAAAAAAAAAGAAAAATAACTAAATGGTAATTTTGCCTAAATAAACCTCCAAACATAACTTTTAAAAAAATCAATACCCTTCTACACAGTTCAAAGTGTTTTAGCATCCACATGCTTTCGGTTGGCAGACCTTTATGCAAGCCTGAGGCCGTTAAGGAAAACAGGCTGGCTAATGAGATCAAGGTTGTGAGTTGAATTGCCTTGTCCCATAATAAACTTCCCAACAAAAAATACTTTATTCAGAAAATGAAGACATTAACCCTACATTCAACCAGTAACCTATATATGGTAGCTGCGGTGAAACTTGTAAACAAATGGCTCAGTACAACCAAACACTTGTTTCTTCAACAAGTATTGATTGAGCACTGACTATATGTAATGTATACTGTGGGGCTCCTGGGAATGTGAAGTGTCATTACCAGGTAGAAAATAAGTGACATGGGCGAGGTAGGTACCAAGAGGTGGATGCCTTCAGAACAGGGACCTATGATATCCACTAGGCCTCATTCGGGTTGAACCTTGAAAACAGGCAGGACCTGCATAAAAAGTATGTGAGAGAAGGTGAGGAGGCCCTCAGGCAAAAGAAATAGGATAAATAGTTCCAAGAAACTGCAAGCTCTCAAGGTTAATAATACCAATAACAATAACTTCACTTGTCTAGAGTCAGTTTGCATGAAGGAGACTTTGAAACAAAAAGATAAATTCACGTAAGGTTGTGTAAAGTTTAAATTCCAGGTTGAAAAGTTTGATTTTTTTTTTAATTCCCTGTGGGCAATGATAAACAATTGAATCTTTTGAGCAGGGGAGTGACGCTGACAAAAATGGTGCTTTAGAATTACTCCAGCAGGATCCTTTCATGGGATTCATCAAGTCCAAACTGCTTTCATAATCATAAAACATAACTTGCCTTTTTCATTGTGTTGACATTTGCCCAGATGGTGAAAAAACAATGGTGGGTAAAACTTTTAGTGCTTTAGCATAATTGAAGGCCGTGTTACTAAACTGAGGAGATTATTGTATTCTTTACCACCGTATCTACTAGTAAGAACAATGCCACTTTTATTTAAGGATCCTCTTGATCCTTGATGGATAATTTTATTAAATTTTGACTCTTATGTAATAAATATCTTTTTAGGATGCTGTGTGTCAAAATGGAAGTACATATCAAATCACTTCAGCTGCATACTGTAATGTGACAATCCTTTTAAGGAAAAGCACTGGGGTGATGGATTTGCAAGTTAAACCAGCTGTTTTTTCTTGAAACACCCTTTTTACTTGAAAAAAAAAAAAGATGTCTGGCCAAATGTGGTTATTAAAATTAGGTGCATGGCAGGTCATTTTCTTAAAAATAAAGGAAGTAACTGAACCTATCATGTCCAGGAAAAAAACTGACAATATGAAGGCATACAGAGTTTCAGCTATACCTTCCAACTATTCCTTCTCTTCACTTACGTAGCCTTCAGTCTTCTTTCTAAGATCTTTTAACACTCCCCAATTAAAGAGATAAAGAATCTACTTTATTGTAAACTCTGTAGTGGATTCATTGGAAATTCAGATTCCCAGCTACATTACATGTTCCTGGAATATAGGGAGACTCTAGATCTCTTCCAAGTAATATAACAACTATAAAAAAACAGAAGTACTGGTTTAGCTTACTTACCTACCTACCTGCCTACCTATCTTCTATCATCTATCCACCTATGTATCTAATTATGCCACACTATTAGGCTTTGTTTGTTATGGCTGCCTACATTGGCTGGGGATACCCAAAGTGGTCCCCTCTCAGAATTCCTGGAGGGAAATGTGGCACAAAACACTCCATTGTCCAAATTGCTCTAATCTCTCAGAAATGTTTATCGTTTTGTCCCACTGTCCTCCTACGCCACTGAATTCCAAACAGATGGGGTAAAGTGTCCCCAAGGCACCTAGGCAGACTCTTTCACCTCTCCCGTGTCTGAACATTGCTCACTCACTTGGGAAGAACTTCTATTTCCTGATATTGTCACTGGGAATTCCCACTTCTGCTCTGTTTGCTGTCTTCCCTACCCCATGACTTC